TCATATCAGAACCTGCTATTAACATATCATTAACATAAAGTAATAGGATGATATAACTAGATTGATATCTCTTGAAGTAGCAACAGTGGTCAGCGTTGCACTTCTGGAAATCTTCCTTGTGCATGAAGTTATCAAACTTTTTGTACCATTGTCTTGGGGCTTGTTTTAGCCCGTATAAACTTTTCTTAAGTTTGCATACCATCTGCTCTTTCCCACTTTTTATAAAACCTTCTGGCTGGTGCATGTATATTTCTTCATCAAGATCTCCATGAAGAAATGCAGTCTTCACATCTAACTGCTCGAGATAAAGTTCTTCAATTGCAACAATACTCAACATTGTTCTAATGGTATTGAGTTTCACAACAGGAGCGAATATCTCATTATAATCAACTCCTTCTTTCTGTTGAAAACCTTTGACAACTAGTCGAGCCTTATACCTCTTGGAATCATCGTGCTCCTTTTTTGCTCGATATATCCATTTGTTATGAAGGGCCTTCTTACCTATGGGTAACTCAGTTAGTTCCCATGTCTGGTTTGAAATCAGGGATTGCATTTCATCTTTCATTGCAAGCCCCCACTTGCTAGCATCTCTGGTCTGGGATGCTTCATAATAATCTTCTGGTTCCCCATCATCAGTTAATAACAAATAATTCATATATTTTCTGTTAGGCACATGTGGTCGAGTACTCCTTCTTAGGGTAGGAGTTGGACAAGAAGGTTGTTGTATGTCATTTCATTGCGATAAACTGCCCTGTACAGTTTGTTCTTCTTGTTGCGGAGTACTTATGATAGTGTACTCTTGCATCGTACTGTCTGGGACATAATCTTCATCAATGAATGTAGATTCTTTTTAATTTGTTTCATAACTCTCAATTTTATGCCTATCTTTGTACATGACTCTCTCATTGAAAATTACATCTCTTGAACGAATAATCTTTTTGCTTTCATCATCCCAAATGCGGTATCCGAACTCATCTTTGCCATAACCGATAAAAGTGCAAACTTTTGATTTAGGATCAAGCTTATTTCTGCCTTGATCACTAATGTGCACATAAGCTACACAACCAAATACCTTTAAGTGCGACAATTTGATCTCTTTGCCGCTCCATACCTCCTCTGGTAATTTGTACTCCAATTGGGTTGATGGTCCTCGATTAATCAAGTAAGCTGTTGTATTGACTGCTTCTGCCCAGAATTGTTTTGGTAGACCTGACTGTATACGAATGCTTCTGGCTCTTTCTGTCAATGTTCGGTTCATCCGCTCAGCTATGCCATTATGCTGAGGCGTACCTGGCACAGTTCTTTCCATCTTAATACCATGCTCGTAGCAAAACTTCTTGAATTTGGTGTCCTCATATTCTTCGCCATTGTCGGACCTGAATCTTTTGATCTTCAGACCTGTTTCATTTTCAACCCTAGCTTTCCATATCCTGAAAACTTCAAACACTTCGGACTTGTATTTTAGAAAGTAAACCCATACTTTCCTAGAGTGATCATCAATAAAAGTCACAAAGTACTGTTTTCCACCTATAGACTGGGTGGTTGTTGGTCCCCACACATCAGAATGAACAAGCTCCAATTTTTCTTTCATTGGAGTTCTTCCATATGTCTGAAAGCTTACCCTCTTCTGCTTTCCAAGTATGCATTCTTCACACATGTCTAAATTCACAGATTTTAGACTAGGGAGTTTTCCAATTGAATGCATGATCTTCATTCCATTCTCACTCATGTGACCAAGTCTTTGGTGCCATAACTTGGAATTTTCATTCTCTGTTGCAACTGCAATCGAATAACACGCTCCAGCTGTCAAATAGAGAGTACCATTCTTTTTACCATGAGCAACTATCATTGCTCCCTTTGAAATCTTCCAATTATCACCTTGAAAGATTATAGTGTAACCTTCACGAGCCAACTGCCCAACTGAGATCAAGTTCTTTCTTAGGTCGGGAACATGTTTGACATCCTTCAGCTCCCAAGCTGACCCATTTAACTTAATTTTGACATTACCTTGACCAACAATATCACAAGGTTGGTCATCACCAAGGTAAACCTGTCCAAGGTTTCTATGGACATACTTCTCAAAAAAGTTTTTATTAGAAGTAGCATGGAACGATGCTCCAGAGTCTAATACCCAAGACTCTTCTTTGCTCTCCAATGAGCATATCAACGCATCATCACCTTCTCCGGTAGAAGTGACATTTGCCTCTGCCTTCACTTCTTTGCCTTTTGGTGTTCCCTTGCACTGATTTTTATAGTGTCCAATCTTTCCACAATTCCAACACTCCACAGTCTTTAAGTTTTGGAAATTATTTGGATTCCTGGATTTTGACCTCCTATCTCTGGATTGTCCTCGATAGTTTGATCTTCCGCGTTCATTCCTTCTGATTAAATTTCTTCCTCTTGACTCTGTATGCAATACCGAAGAGAATGTACCAATTGTTAAGAAAAAAATGCAAATTTTCTATTTAATCAAATTTGAGGGAGAAATAAATTACATAAACAAAATGTCTATTTATACCAAAGTGCAAAAAACACAACCCCTCTTTTCTCTGAGTTATTTTTCTTCTCTCAGATTTTCTCTTCGTCGAATCTCCTCACTAAGAACCAGATCACGAACGTCATCAAACTTCAACTTGTTATTTCCCGATGAGCTACTCACAGCTGTGACTGTAGCATTCCAACTATCTGGCAGGGAAGATAAAAGTATTAACGCTAATACTTCATCATCAAATTTGATTTCAACAAAACTCAATTGGGTTGTGACAGAATTGAGTTCATTAAGGTGTTGAGCTACCGATCCACCTTCTGATATCCTCAAACTAAACAACCGCCTCATCAAATGAACTTTATTGGAGGCTGATGGCTTCTCATACATATTAGAGAGAGCTTTCATGAGACCTGCCGTTGTGGTTTCCTTTGCAATGTTAAACGCCACATTGCGTGATAACGTCAATCGAATAACTCCGAGTGCTTGTCTATCTAAAAGCTTCCATTCTGCTTCTTGCATGCCATCTGGCTTTTTCTCTTCCAGAGGTTGATAGATTTTTTTCTGGTATAAATAATCTTCAATCTGCATTTTCCAAAATCCGAAATCTTTACCATCGAATTTTTCAAGTTTAACTTCTCCTTTGTCTGCAGCCATTTCTCCCACTCAAATTTGACTTTTTCTTTTAGGATCGTTTTTATTTTTATCGTAATGTGGACTAATTGTCAACCAAACTCTTGATACCAATTGTTAAGAAAATAATGCAAATTTTCTATTTAATCAAATTTGAGGGAGAAATAAATTACATAAACAAAATGTCTATTTATACCAAAGTGCAAAAAACACAACCCCTCTTTTCTCTGAGTTATTTTTCTTCTCTCAGATTTTCTCTTGAAATTATTACATACAAATGAAGGAAATGCTCAATTTATAGTTTTCCTAAAACAACCTAAGCCATTTAAAATTTAGCCTGCAATATTTATCACCATTAGTTATTTTTCCCTATATTTGGAAACACCTTTAATTTTCAATGGTAATGCATGGTTATTTAATAACCATTTTTTTTTTCTTTATGTTTCTTAATTATCTGCCAACACTCAACTATATGCAAGGAAAAAAATAATAGACAGGAAAATCAAACGGGAAATTACTTGTATAAATAAGGAATTTTTAGCATTGTTTTTTTATTTTCATTGCTCAATTAAACACATATTATTGATACTATTCAAGATTGATCAATTGAGTATAAATTTGGTCGAGATAACAAAGTATTGGTCCATAAATTATACTCCCACGCACTGTATGTCTGTATATAATAAGGGAAATAACACGTTGTACATGTATAAAGGATGTGTATAGAAGGCCAAAAGGTTGATACAAAACATATATGAAGTATTGATTACTAATATAATGTGTAAAAAAACAAATATTTACTAATATAATGAGGGGAAAGATTTAAACCTATGATTTATCACATATATACACAAACTCTCAATTTTAATCATTGACCAAAATCTCATTAATAAATTAGACTAAAAATATTAAATATGCATTGAAATATATATACATACTCATTGCGTAATTTGCTTGAAGCTTAAAGATAGTTGATTAATGTTATTTCATGTAAAATAAAGTAGTACAATTAATTATTTTTCTCCTCAATACTAATCAGGGTGCAGTCATGGAGCATAATTGCTCGAAAGGTCAAAGGATCAATCAGATAAAACGAACCAGAACAGCTGAAGTTCATAATATATCTGAGAGGGTAACGTAACGAGCTTTGACTTTGACTTTTATACATGATCCTAATCATCTTATGTTAGTCGTACTCCGCAGTACGGAGTCTAATTTTTGTTATTCCCTTTGTCACGTGATGCATGATCATGAGAGGGTATGTCCAACTTTTAAATTTAAATATTAAATTTAATACTCCCTCTGACCGTAATTATCTGCAATATTTAACTAAAATGGGTGCTCTCTCATTTGCAACAAAAAATTTTCTTTCCTATTTTGGTAATATTTAACTATTAATTACCCACTTTTTTGGTTAGTGGTCCCCTCAACCACCTATTACCCACTATCTAAAACCCACTCAAAAAAAAACACTCTTTTTCCTTCCATTTTCAACCTTAATTAAACCCACCAAAACTCAATTAAAACTCCCCTAAAAGTTTTGCCTAAGAGTCCGCAAACATGTCATTTGTTGCAGATAATCCCGGGCGGAGGGAGTAGTTGTTGTGTTTTATTTGTTTGAAAAGTTTACATTTTATGAAACTTGTCTATTTTGAGAGTGAGGGATAGTTCAAGTGGTTAGATCTCTCCTTCCAATTTCAAGAGATCTTGAGATTGATTCTCATCACTTGCCTTCATAGCTCTCAAACACCCAAAAAAAAAAAAAAAACTTGTCTGTTTTAAATAATTACAACAATTTCAAGTTAATTTAATGTTTGTTGATTTATGATTTTAACAATTTATAAAAATATTGATAGATATAATTTTTTTTTTTTTTGACGAATAGACATATAATCCAAACATAAATATCACCTTATACTTTTGTTTGTGTTTTCGCAGCTCTTAATGCAACATTCATATTAAACATACTTATCTACGTGTTTGCTAAAGTTATAACAAGTAAATAATTTAAAAATGCACCGTGAGACAAATGTATACATCAAGATCTCATGTGATAGAGGTTATTGTATATTTTTCTTTCTTATATAATAGTTTTTTTTTTTCTTAAAACCTTCTTATATAATACTAGTACATCGTAGTATTAGTGATTTTTTTTGTGTGAAAGTTCAATTTTACAATTGAAACTTTTCTAAATTAAAAGGAGCTGGTAATAAAACTAGTTCAAAAAATATACATTATAACATTAAAAAAAATAAAAAATAAAAAAAAAACCTTGTATACACTAAGAAAACGTGGTTAAAAGTCATTGTATGAATAGTTTAAAAGTGAAATTAAACTATTGTGATAACTACGAAACAAAAGGATTATAAAGTATAAGATAAGAATAGTCATGTATAATTGTACGTTCTAAATTACTTCTCTTGTGATCAGAGACGAAGAGATAAGATCAAGGGAAGGATACAAACACTACAAGAAATGATGCCCCATTGTAGAAAGGTTTCGTACTCAATTTCCTTTCACACTTATTTATTCCTCTTTTCCATGTTATTTTTTTCCTAATCTTCATAGATATAGCTAGAGGTACTAATCGAGCGAGTCGACCTTGAGTTAAGATGTGCATCTCAGATTTTAATATCCTGCCTTTGTTACTAATTGCTTCACTAAAGTTGCTGCTATAATCACAGAAGGACCGAGCTTCCATCCTGGATGATGCTGCAAACTATGTGAAATCCTTAAAGCTTCAAGTTGAGGCAAGTCTCGCATCTCTTGCCAACTGTTTTACTTTCTTGAATAGTGAAAATGTACATCTCCTATATAACAGTACTCCTAATGGTTTACGATTGAATTTCTAAAACTCTGTACGTCATAAATTTAATTTAGCCATTGAGCCATTGATAAAAATGGAAGAACTGTTATCTACACGTAAAATCATGTTATACCATAAATTAATGAACTTGGTGGTTTATTCGGCGCCCTTTGTTTTTAATCAGATGATGATGAAGGCCCGATATGCCTTGTGTTGCAACTCCTGGTTTGCAAGCGTGCCGCAATCTGTTCCCATCAGACCAGGCGTAGGAGCTGGTGTTGGAATGGCGTTCAGACCGAGTGTATGCGCAAGCTGTTCGACTCCATGTGCACAATGGATACCTTTTCCTCCTGCTGCAGGTGAACACCCCTTTGCACCCTCAACGCTTGCAAGTTTTCCTTTCCCTACCATGTGTCCGACAGCAGTTCTGCCTACTGACGGAAAGTCAAACTCTGCTGGTGAAACAGAGCAGCCTGAGACAGGTTATTTATCTCACTGAACTATTTTGATGCTTAATCTTCAACTCCCTTTATCCGGACATCCAAAAATAGTAATTGCGAGTGTTAATTTCTGATAGAGGAAGTATGTTTTAGATTGCTCTTAATTGTTACTACTCAATCTGAAACTTTCAGGTAAGCCATCTGGTAGGAGAGCAACCAAACAACACAACAGCTAATCATCTCTTTCACTGTTGAGTTTTCACTCAAGATTTCAGGCTGCATGATATGCCAAGTTAATGGTTTTGAAAGATGAACTTTTCTTATGTTTTTCTTCCAAATCAAGGTTCAATGTATTAGGGGTCTTTCTCTTAAATGTCTGCCTTTTTGTCGAAAAATTATAAAAAAATTGGAAGTCAGTTTATATTGAGATCATTAGCAGATATTAACATTAAATCTAAGAATTAACTTCAATACCGGGAGATAGAAAATGAGAAATTCAGAGGTGCAACGTGATTTTATTCGATGATCAACATAATTACGAATCACTAAAAACAAGAGACGGACAGAGTTTTGTTCTTACTTGCTAAGCATAAAGAAATTTAATCTATGATTGAGAGCTATATTTTTCATCACGTAGATTTGGGAAAAGATCCATTGATTATTAAGTACAATGTAGTATTCATATTTTCCCATTTTTTCTTAAACTTTTTACTTATATTTCCTTTCCTTGACTGGTCCTCTTGGAATTTTGCTGAGAACTTTTGAGTCTATCTTCCTGTACAATCTCTTCATATCTCCTTTCCCTTGGGTGGCAATGTAGGTCACCTCCCTCTCGTATCGTTCATAGAGAACTGGAATCGTGATCAACCCGAGAAACACTGCAACAGGCACAACATTGTGATCAAATAAAAATGTAACAAAATCAGTGCAGTCTAAAATATTATAAATTGAATTTTCATACTTACCAACATATAGAACATTCAGAGCACTAGAGTAGCTTCCGAAGATAGATAATAACCAAATAGCTGCGAGGGCCTGAAAATAATAGAGGAAATAGCATAGTAAAAGGTCCGGTGACAACTCCTTGAGAAGCTGTGAAGAGGAAACAGTATTGCATACCACAAAGAAGCGTGCGAAATCTTCTCCACATGATATCCTATAGAACTTTATCAAAAACTTGTTTATTCTCGATAATACATGTCTGGCTGTTGTTTCTGATATCTGAATGTCATACATCGTCGGAGGCCTCCTGTCAAGTTTATTACAGGGCATTTGAACATAAGAACAAATTGATTTAATACTCGAATTTTGACCAGCATAAACAGATATATGTGACTTGTTTATAGGCTATTTTAATGCATAAAGATGTACCATCTAAAGAATCTTTCTCCTTGAATCCAAATGAAAAGGACGAGCATGAAGGCCATGAGAATGTAACAAGCAACCGTGATGAAGTGGAGTTCAACCACCTCGAATAGAAACCATATTATCGAGAACCCAGCTAAGATTGATGCTGATAAGGTCTTGTTCCTCCACAACAATATATCAGCAACTGTGACAATAACAAAATATATTTAACTCGCAATTTATATGTCCCAAGATAACAATTTGCTTGCAGTGTAGACATAGTTTCTTTGAATAATCCTAACATAGTATATGTGACTATTAAATCTGGACGCAGGAATAACTTTTAACAATCAATTGGTAGGATTACCCCCTCGGCCACCTAAAATGGAATGCAATGACCTGTTTCTGCCAAACATCCTTGACATATTAGACGGGCCAGGAGCTTGATCATCGGAATCTGAGTAGATAGGCATGGTTAGCAATATCAAAACGCGGAATGAATTAGGTTATTGAAGGAAAGGTATATGGTTAGCTGATTGTGAGATGAAAATACAGTGCAATACTGTACGAGTATATATATGAAGTCATAAGTGTTCCAAACTTGGTTTAAAAGGAACGTATTTCAAAACTGAACTAAGGAAGGAATGGCTTTGGCATGGGTTGTAAGGTTGCTTACTTGCTTCACATGCCTTGTGTTGTTATTACCACGCACCATTTCTCTTTTTTTTTTTTTTTTTTTTGTCCTTATAAATAATTTTTTTTAATTTAAGGAAATAATTTTTAAATATTGGAAAAACCATTTATGAACGAAATCCTAAATTAATGTATTAATTTGATAATAAGAAGCAAGAGTACTTATCCTCTGAATCAAGCTATACCAAGCTACCGGAATCAATCAAATCTTAATCTTTTCTAATCTTAGAGGGCTAGATAAGCCTGAAAATGAATGGTGCATAACACAAATGAGATCGATCCTTCAATATATTGCATCACCTCCTATTGTACTATATAGTAAGCTAATGAAAGAAGTTGTATGGGATGATATTAGCTTGCCTCGGTCTTATGAATGGGTCGAATCTTCGCACTTGGACCATGTCAACTACTGGCCAAATTAAAATACCCATATCGGTCTAAATCACCATCCATGTGGAGACTTACTGTAGTCCTCGTGGACATTTGCCGTTTGTTTGACAAAACACTCACGTGACGTGGGCCTACACGTGGCACTTGCTTGAGAGTTTCTATAAATACTTAAACATATGATACAATATTTTATTAACCTAAACACTCTCAAATTACGTGCTTTATTAACCATTTCGAACTAGTGTTGACTCTATTGTCGAGGCGGTTATCCTTGAACAAAACCCCGAGGATACCTAAGCTACGTTAACTTTGCAGGTATCTACAACTAATATTACAATAATCACCAGAGTTATCTCTAGAGTACACCTGTCGCATTAATAACAAAAAAATTTCCGCCAAATTTTTTATTATTTCTTTTTTTTCCCTTAAAAAATAACATGATGATAAAAGTTAAAATATATTAAGTTATATATTGACTTTAGTTTTATGATTTGCAAGTCTTATTATTATGTAATCGTACATGGCACGGGGAAAAAACTAGTTTGCGTATATATATATATATATATTAGGGCTGAGCAAAATTATCCGAAAAACCGAAAATCCGAACCGTAACCGAACCGAAAATTAGGGTACCCGTTTCGATAACCATAACGGTTCGGGTACCCGATCCGATAATTTGTTATCGGGTACGGTTATTGAGTATCATTTTAAAATTAACGGTTACCTGATCCGTTTCGATAAGCAATTTTTTCTTTTTTTTTTCCCATTTAAATCTATTTATCCAAAATCTAAATTCTTACTTTACTTCGTAATCACTTCATAATTTATATGATTAGTAATTATTAGTAATTTGGTCATGATCACGTGGTATTATTGTTGATTAGTGTTGAATGATATCATAATAACTATATTATAAAGTCTAAATTTTTATTATTGGATATCATATTGGGTACCCGATAACCGAACCGAAAATCCGGGTACCCGAACTTATTGGTTCAGGTAATGGATATCATTTTTAGTGTTATTGGTTATTGAGTACCCGAACCGATAGTGTTAATGGTACGGGTACCTGTCCCATGCTCACCCCTATTAATATATATATATATATATATATAGGTGTTTATCACAATTTTCGTATAATTAAGCAACTGGTATTTATTGCTTCAAAAAAAAGCAACTGGTATTTATCACAATTGGTCTATATGATTGGAAAGTCTTACCAACTTACCATCAAATATATACTGTGTAATTTTGTTTCAATAATTTAACTTTTTCAATATGTCTCCTAATCTACATCTACACTTCTTTAAAAGTGAGAAGATCAGCAGAACTGTTCCTTATGAACAGTAGAGCAGTGTGCGGACGGTTTTGTCCTCGTCTTGCGATGTTATTTGCGGTCCTGCCATTGGATCTTGACTTCCTTTGCTTACTACCTCAGCTTTGTCAGTCCAACTTTTCCTGAATTCACTTACCATCACTCATTCATTTCCGTTTTCTCTCTCTTCCTACTCTCTTTCCCTTTCCTCCTCTGCTATTGTCCTGCCATTTTTCCACTTTTACTTTTAAGCTTTTTTGCTCTTCCATTGAAGGTCATTCTGAGTTTTCCATTGAAGCGTGTTTTGAGCTTCCTTTCTTCCATTATTGCTGAGGTAATTACTCGTACTGAATAAGTGTGAATTTTTCTAATGGAAATTCTGATTTAATAAACGGAAATTCTGATTTCACAATTCATAAGCTAGGATATTCGGATTTTCTAAGTGTAAAAAATCTAATTTTCTTAGTTAAATTAATTAGTGAATAATTGGTATTTTTTAATTAATTATTTTATACAAAATATATTATTTACACAATCAATTTTATTCCTTAAAAACTAGCAAAATAGTTGCCTAAATATTTAAAGGGAGGTCCGAAAATATGAGCTTAGGAAAGCTCAAATTTTCGGCCACTATATTGTATTTTGAGCAAAATTATTTTGGTAATTTTTGTATTTTAATTATCTTCCTCAATTCTATTATTTTCCTTAATTCTTATTTTCCATCTCCTATATATTTGATCATCTTATTTCCCTACCTTAAATTATTCTTGATTATTCCCCAAGCAAAGCCATTTACCATTTAATATTTCATGACTACATACTTACCTTATTTCTTCATTACTTAATCACCATATATAACCTAGACTTTCCATAATTCTTTAGCTCTCTTCTCCAAGTAATTTCCTTAAACCAATTTACCATAATTCTTCCTACATTCTCCTACCATAATTCTTGCATGAGCTAGCCTATAAATACCCCCTCATACCTCTCATATTCTTCACACCAAAAACTCAATTCTTTTCTCTCTTACTCTTCTTTTCCCTCAACCTTTTTCTACTTTTCCTCTCCTCTTTTCTAAAAGAAAATCAGCTCGTATATCTTTGAACCCTATTTTCGGGCACTTCTGGTCAGTTTTGGAGTCTATTTCACAGAAAATTGTTCCTCTCAAAATATCCTTGAGGTTAGGATCAAGAATCACCCAATTAGGAGTTATATTGAAGGAGTTATGGCCTCTGCAAGTTCTGCCTATTCTTTCCAACGTAAATCCAATTCTCTTTAATCCTATTCCTTTATTTTCTTCATGGTTAGTTTTCTAAAATATAAATACCTATTCAAAGCTATTATTTTATATTAAAGTATTATTTTTAAAAGAGTTTTATAGTCCATGCTCATTAGATTTGGGTTGATGTCTAAAGATGTTGTGATAACCTTATGGTTATGTTAATTGTAAGGTGTATTCGTGATTGAACTTTGAAAAGGTGAAGTGTTGATTGATATTCGGAATCAAGGTACGTTTAGGTGGCTAGATACCTTTGAAATTGATTAAATTGAATAAGCATGTTTTACATGATTTTTATGATGATTGAATTAAATTGAATTAAATTGTGATTTATGAAATAATAAAGCATGTTTTAAAAATTGGTTTTTGATAAATGAATTGAAGGATTGATTTTACATCATGTTTTGAATGGTTTGAATTACTTATCATGTTTGAATAAAGAAATTGATTTGAAAAGTTTGATAAAAGGTTTTTCAAAGGAAAAGTTATTGATTTTAAAAAGTTATTAATATGAGATTTAATTCTCAAGTATTTATTAAAAGGTTGACTTTGAAAGCATGTTGAATTAAATAAAAAGGAGTTTTGAGTTAATCTATTATAAAGGTTGATTTTATTCAAAGAGGAATTTTATGAGGATTTATTGAATTATTTATTAAAAATCTTTACAAACATGATTATTATATTAATCCCACTATGCGAATTTATTGAAAACTGTGGACTTTGTATGAACTAGTCTTTCCTTAAGAATAACTTTGAAATAGTAGTAGGAGACTAGCTTGGGGGGTGTGCGCACTTAGAGAGGAGATTGAGTTTTCGAAAATAATTGATTTTATTAATCATTATTATTAAGTTATTGGAATTGTTTTGAGAATATTGGAGGAATTGGTTTTCAAAAGAGGAATTGGTTTTATAAATCGTTTTATCGAATTATTGGAATTGGTTTTGAATCATGAGTTTTGGAATTATATTATTGGAATTGGTTTTGGAATTTTGAGTTGGAATTATTGGATTAACATTGAAATTGGTTTTAAAAAGCATGTTTGCTAATAAATTGAGTTTACTTATCTTGCACTTATCGTACTTAGCATATTTTGCTAATCCGTATTTCTTATTTGTTTTGGTTCGCCCTGTTTACCTTAATGGTAAGCAGTGTTGACTATTTTCAGGTGGAGTCAATAATTGAGCATATGGGAGTCCCGGGAATGTTTACACCTAGAATTAGGATTGCTGGTCTTTGTCTAATTATGAGTACTCATGACAATGGTTTCTATTTATAGTTATTATTAATAAAGAAAGAGTTTGAATTTCTGCTGCAAAGTATTGGTTTGGTTAGTAGTTTGAGTAGCCTTGCGTAATCACGCAGCGGTAATACGCCTAAGTCTATATCTACGGTATAATTATACGTATTATACTAGTATTTCCATATAGGGAGATTTGGGGGTGTTACAGCTGGTTCCCTCGCCGAATATGGATATGAAGCCGAGCTATCCATACAAATGAAGCTAGCTTTGAGAAAATAGGCGGCATGAATAATGGTGCCGAGCATATGGCATTACCATTGCCAAGTGGGCAAGAGCTAAGGCTAACTAGCACCTTGTCCGAGCAAACATTCTGTGTCATCTCTTGAACATGGGCATGCAAGACAACCCTAAGTGTCAAGAGCATAACTACTAAGTAAGATGACCGAGCTTCCCTTGAGGAAAGTCTACCTTACATTCAAATGGAAATGTTACGCTGTTGAGTATTATTTGAGGGGTTGTAACCATACGCTTTGTTATGCGGCATTCGATGGTCGGACATCATTTAAGCAACATGCTTGAATTGCCAAGTAAGTCAGCAGTGACTGAGCAGTCCCTGAGAGGAAGCCTATATTTGAAGGCTTACAACCATGTATGAACTTCGTTATGTGGCACTTGATGGCCAAACAACGAACATTCAAGCAGCTAAGCTGGATGGCCGAACTTCCCTCGACCCAAAAAGCTCACCTATCAACTTTCATTCGACATACTTGGCCGAGTGAAATAGCAAAGCTCGCCCTCGCGAGCATAGCTGATCGGTCGTGGCCGAGTTTCCCTCCAGCAGAGGATTACTTCCAACTTTCATTCGGTATACTTGGCCAAGTGAAGCGGTTAAACAAGTCTGTAGTGGCTGAGCTACCCACTAGCAAAGGACAACCTCTTACTTTTAGACGGCATGATTGGCAGTGAAATTACCGAGTTCACTTATATATATGCACATATCTATTCAACCCTTGAGATATGGATCCGCTCCACATTTCTCAATGCCCAATAATGTTAAGCCGACTAGGCATGGGGAGCCAACTTTGAAGAAGTATACGACATGAATGCCGAACTAGAGATCATCCGCACCAAAGGATGAAAATGGCAAGACAATGGTGCCGAATTCGTGTTTTATGGGCAACCTTCCACCAAAAACCAGGCAGCACCCAAGGCCACCCAAGATCTTGACAAGAGACACACTTCGCGCTATAAGCTGATAAATCGCACATTATTGCTAAATGGATCTTTAAGCTTGTAACATGAATGGATCTTCAAGCTTGTAATTTGCTCAGATGGTGTAAGTACTGACAGGCTATAGTCATATCACCTAATCTAAAGAAATACCTAAGTCCTCTAATTAAAGCAGGTAGTGAAGTAGGGTCGAATCCACATGAAAACAATATAATGTTCTTTTACTCCTAATTAATTATTATAATCTAAATTACCAAGTAACCAGTATGATTTTATATGAATTAATCTTTGGGGAAAAAATAAACTAAGCAAATAAAATTAAGAGAATATCAATAACATAAAGCCTAGGGCATAGGTTCACCAATAAATAATATTTCGGAATGAAAGACTATAATTAACTATCAATGCATAAATTAATCAGATTATAAAGGACTTTCGCTACGTATTAAAATCATATAATTAACTTAGCGGTATTAAATCGCATCTCTCGAATCTTGACTTAATTAACCTGCCTATTGAAACTAAGCCTTAACATCAACTCTTATCTGTCGAATCTCGAATCAATATTGCGTAACTCATACAATTGAACCTGGCCAAATCTAATTGCATAGCATTAAATCAATACCTAAAACATTAACAATCAACAATAATAAATCATCCCTTCATATTATTTATGGATTCCCAAGAACCCCTAAAAATAAACTACTCACACATAATTAAATCTAAACTAGACAAAGCATATAAAAAAAACATAACCAAAAAAAAAACTAAAGTAATACGGAATAATAACTAAAAACTAAAGAATACGAATGAACTAAGCAATCAAGCGCATTCTCGCACCCCAAAATGATGCTCACCCGATCGGGCCCTGCAAAAAATCACACCCAGCAGTTGAAGCTTAGCAATTGAAGCCCAACAACTGATATCTTGGGATTGGGCTTCCATTTCCTTTGAGCCCAATTCTTAACTTAATTGACTCATATAATAGCTTGTAACAACTTGGACCTCTTCACTAATCGAGCCCTTAATCACCAAATTAAGTTCCTGTAACTTGGTCTTGTGCTTAAAATTTTCGTTCAGAAAATACGATCAAACTCCAATATCTTCGTAATGGCTCAAATAAGCTCTAGAATTATCATAATTCTGCAAATTCCTATAAAATAATATCAACTCTACAAAAACACTAGAAAACATATATTAGCACTTCATCCGTTATATATTAGTTGCAACTTTGGGGTAATATTTGTGAGACATAAAATTAAAGATTCAAAAATTGCAACTAATATGTAACGGAGGAAGTAATAGAAATAGCTCCGCATAGCTTAAATAAACATAAATATGACATTGGGACGGAGAATAATATATATATATATATATATATATATATATATATATATATATATATATATATATATATATATATATATGAGTTATAATGAGAACCTCTTGTATAATAGGAACTAGGAACTAATTAGGGTCGTTGGATCTAACTTAGATGCACGCTTGATGAGCGGCCCAGATTAATTCACAATCAAGCGCACTTTCTGTCATTTCTCTCTCCTCAAGCGTAGCGATTACCCTACTTCCTAGCTACCTCCATTGAAGCGGATTTCGAGCTTTCTCTACTCCATTGAAGCGGATTTTGAGCTTTCTGTACTCCATTGAAACAGCTTCTGAGGTATGATGTTTTTTTTCCTCTTTTTTGAATCACGAACTTCAATTTCACTATCTATGGTTTATCGTTAATTATTTTGTCAATTTAGGATTCTTTATAGTGAAATTCGAGCTTTTGAGGTTATGAATGATTATACGATTAATTTTGCTGCTAGAATTTCTAAACACCTAGATCTGAAAGTACTGTCATACAAATTTATATGAATTTTGGTGAGTTTGCAAACAAATCTATGTGAACTAAGTGAATTCGTACTATAAGTTTTTAACAATTGGATCTATATGATTTTTTGAATGTTTTAGCTTATGATTTGGAGCTCGATTCTAAACACTAGTGAGATTTTCATGCCTGAATTTGTCTATTTTCTTACTTTACATTGAATTAATTTTGATTATTCAATTATTGTTGTTGATTTCTTAATGCACACTAAGTGTTTGACAAAATGCCTCAATGAATCCTATTATTTAATCAATTTCAAAAATAGATATATATGGTCCTTTTATGGATGTGGCAGGTGCAATTTGTTTCTTGTGGTGGCAGGAAATCACATAGGGATGAGTGGTTTGAGGTTAATAACTAAATAATCAATGTCCTCTTCACACTTATGTATCTTAATCTAGGTCTTTACACTTTGCTTTATTTTCCAATCAGGTAAGAGTAAATATTTTCCCTCTGTGAGCTTGTTTTGGTGGCTGGTTTAAAGGTCCGCAAGCCTAGTTGTTAATTTAAGCTATTTACTTCTTTCTTCAGGTACAATGTTCTTGTGCTGGGTCTCGTACCTATGTCCATGAAAGTATATATCTCATAAAAGTAAACTATATGTATCTAAAAGTAAACTAATCCTCTCTTAAAGTAAGCATATGCTAGCCTAATTTGGGTGTGAGTGGATTTTTAGAATTGATTACAGAAGCTCCTAACTCTTCTTTTCAGGATTGCCTAAGCTGGGTGGCAGAAAGACTATCAGGGGATGAGATTTCAATGTTTGCAAACTTATGTTGGTCCTCTTGGACTAGCAGGAATAACGTCATTCATGAGCCGTCAACACACGATCCTATAATGCTAGCTACAAGTTTCACTAGGTATGTCTATGACTATAAGTCATATGCTGCTAGAGTCTTTACTGAGGTGAAAAGAAGTGATGCATAGTCTATATGAATTTGCTGCTATATTTGAAGGATAGGATCTTATGCTGATTAAAAATGAATATTGCTTCTTATAATTTTTTATTTCTAAAAGTAGATAGAAGTTGGTTAAAAGTAAATCAATTAGTCTTAAAAGTTTGTTTTTTCTCTTGATTAAAAAGTAGATTGAAAGTTAATAAAAGTAAACCAGTTAGACTCATAAGTTAATGAAAGTAAACATAGTTAGATTATCGATTATGCTTTGGATTTTTAATACAAGTGCTACAACCTATTAGTTCAAGTGTTATTTGAGCTAATATAGTTGAAAATTGCTAATATATAGTTGCCTCTTCATCCAATATGTGTAATTTGTAGGCTTGGAAGTATCTCTGGGCTCTATGTAAGAAAGATGTGGCTACTGAAGATACAATCCGGAGAGCTATGGGCATAATTGGTGAGCATGAGAAAGCTATTATTCAACCTGATCGCATGTTGTATGCTCATATAGATGCTATACAGTGATGGGAACCTCCTGAAATTGGGGTGTTCAAGTTGAATACCGATGCAGCCTGCTTTAAGGATATTTCATTTGGTCTGGGGGTGTTATTCGTGACACTACAGGTGATGTTCTGCTGGCTACTTGTTGCAGGTTGCAGGGCAAATTTGCAATTGATGTTAGTGAGGCGCTGGCTGCTAGGAATGCTTTGCAAATCGCAATTGAAGCAGGTCTCAATAGAATTATATTGGAGACGGACAATGCTACTGTACCATCATCTCAAGAGCAACAAACGAGAGAAATGAGGTTGCTCACATATTAACACATTTGAGTAAATGTTATGTTGAGATGAGCGTGTGGATCATAGAGGTGCCCAATGGTTTATCGGATGTAGTGGTTCTTGACATTTCAAGTCTTCCTTAATAAATTTTCTTGTTTGCTTGTGTCCAAAAAAAAAAAGTAAACCTATTAGCTCAAATGGTAGAGCACTATGTGGATGCATAAAGGTGTAGGTTTGATTCCTACATAGGTTATCTTAAAAAGTAATTACAAAACACTCTAAAGTTATTCAAAATACCTCAAAAGTAAATCAAAATCTCTAAAAAGTAAGTAGAAAAACTAAAAAAAGTAAATTAATATATGCCAAAAGCAAATCATAATTACTCAAAAGTGAATAAATAATGCTAAAAGTAAATCAAAATATCATTGAAGTAAATCAAATTAGCTCTAAAGTATATGAATAATAAATTATCTTGAAATGATAATGAGTAACTAAACTTTGTTATAGCACAAAAACTCCGAATCATTGACTTTCATATCCTTACAAGATGAGTCAATTTTTTTTTTTGTTTGACATAAGTATATTGAGTTTGAAGTAGAGGTTTTCAAATTAAAAGTAAATAAAACTATATCAAAAGTAAACAAAAAAAAGAAGAAATCTAATAAAACATATAACTGCAACCTCGGCAATTGTATACCTGCAACCTCAGCAATCTCAGTCTTGAGCAAGTGGTCATGCCCGCCTGTAGGGGTCACAAAAGTGAACACTGATGCTTAGTTTGGTGTTACGAGACTTTAATGGCAACCTTCTTATGTGTGCAGCAAAGAGAACAAGGGCTGCCAACTTTGAGATGGCAGAAGCACTTGCTGTGTGCTATGTGATCCGCATTGCCAGTCGTTTTGGTTTCACAAACATAATGCTGGAACCTGACACCTCAAATGTTGTCAATGCCATAAAACAGAATGTTAATGGTTCCTCTCCAATTTTAACCTTAAAGTAAATAATATTTACTCAAAAGTAAATTAGAAAAACTCAAAACTAAATATAAAAATCTCAAAAGTATATTTACAATAATCAAATGGTTCGAAGTGTTTCGAAGTATTAGAAGAACCTACGTGGGATTCAAACCTACATCTTTTGTACATTGGCACAATGCTCTACCTATTAAGCTAGTAGGCTAATATAAAATTAAGCATTTGAAGTAAAGAAAAATGACTCAAAAGTAAATAAAAAAATCTCAAAAGTATGTAAAATAAAATCTGTATAGTATAATGCTCTACTATTGTATACGAGAAGTTCAATTGTTATAAGCTTATCAAAGAATAATGAAAAGAAACATTGACAATACAATCTGATAAATTCCTATATGATTCAACATTCATGTATCTACTACATTATAAAGTAAACCATACATGGACAACACAATCTAGTAAGGGCATCTTCAGTATGACTCTTATATTCCCTCTCCTGCCCTTCCTTCCTCACTCCTAATAAGACAGCTCGACAAGAAAAAACAGAAACATAGATATCACACAAATGTTAAAAAGTCATCAGATCATCCTAATGTAGGCTAGCGTTAGTGATTAGCAATTGATTATCTTGAATCATCAATAGATTATAATACTAATTGTAAAAATTGTACAGATTTTAGTGATTAGCAAGGGGAAAAAACATGGTTTTATTCATCCAAACTCGAGCATTTGCAAGTAATTTTTGGAATACTTAAAAACAGATTTGGTGTCAGGTATCTATGGAACTAGGAAGAATAATCAATAAGGGAATCCATCCTCTTAGATGCTTGCCCTTTTAGGCTCGCTGCCTTGAAATGGAAACACGGACATTTGTAAACATCTCTTTAATAATACAGAGTAACAAGGGACACTCTCGAAAAATTTCCATATTGTGACAAACTAACAAAGAGAAGTTTTAGTTTTCTTAGATATCAAAAAGTTCAATCAAAGCACATTTTTACCGTACACAAAACGAATTGAAATGCACTGGACTAGAGATCCCTGAAAACTGAGACTTTACTCTTACATTTGATATTCATGTAGTTTATAGAACTTCTAACAGCAATTCTAGTGCTAGAATTAACCTAAAAAACAAGGATCAAAATTTGGGTATGCACTATTATTAAACCATTAGCACACCACCTACCGTCCCTCGCTCAAACACGCAACAACAACCAACGACACACAGCAACACAAAACTGTTGCCTGAGTATAAATAGTCACACCAATAACATAGAGCTCAAGGCAACTACCCTACATAGCAGCTCCCCACGCAACACCCCAAGTGCTTCCACCTAAAACCAGCCCCACAAAGCAGCTCCCCAAGCAACCAAAACAAAATTACCCTTAACGCATTGCAACCTCGTACAACCCCAAATGTTCAAAAAAACGCAATTATAATTACAGCACATGCATTCACAAATAAATCAAACAAAAACTAGCAAAAAGCCCCCCCCAAATTTCGACTATTTAATCTGATTATAAAATGCAAAAACACAGATTAATCAAATAGCAAAACGCTATATTCAAACTCGAATTAATCGAAACCAAATCGAGCAAACTTAAACTGAAGCGAGCAATCAACATACTAATAGATCGAAATTTCCGTACCTTAACAGAAACACGCTAGAATTTGATTAACAAAAGCAAAGAAATCGTGAGCGAACCCAAGAAAATCGCATCAGATCACAGATAATTTGGAGGAAGCGAGAGAAAGCATGAAGATGAGAGAGAGCGAAAAAGAACAGTGGATACTTTTGGGTATAATACAATAATTTACCAAAATGCCATTACTAAGTTAAAAACTCGAACGACATCTCAGCTGTTGGATCAAATAAATCAAGGGCTCAGATTAGTTCCTAGTTCCTTTTATTCACCTTGGTTCTCACATGATCTCAATTATATATATATATATATATATATATATATATAGAGTGTGGATCACGTGAAAACAAGATTAAAACTGAAAACTGAAAACATGCAATCTCTACCGTAGATTATGATCTATTACTCACCCCTCATCTAACGGTTCAGATTTTTCCCCCAAATTAAAGCAAAATGATAGCAATTTCTCTCTCCTCCTTCATTTGCACGTAACTTTTTCCTCCTCTATTTTCTCTCTCCTACTTTCTCTCTGCTACTTTCTCTCTCCTACTTTCCCAATTCTTCTACCAATTTCATGCTACTAATTCAAATCTAGCTTCAATTACTTTGATTTTCAGCAATTTCTTAGCTCTACAATCTATTATCAAGTAAGTTATTTGTGTTAATTTCGTTATTTTGCTTGATTTGAGTACTTAATTTCGTAATTTTTGTTTCACTTTTTCAACCAAATTTAACTCGTTTTTGCTAGATTTTGATTCATTTCATTGATTTTGAGTTTTGTTTTTTTTTGGATTGAAATTGCAGTAAATCGTTGATTAAGCAGACGAGAACTCGAATCAAAGTTGTCCGACGAATGAAATGCGACGGAGAAGTTTTTGAGGAAAGACATTGCTGATCTGCTTGCTAATGACCTCGAGAAGAACGCTTATGGAAGAGTGAGTGTGTTTTTCCGTTATTTTTTTAGCTTAACGATTTGAATTTTGATAATTGATGAATTTTTTTAATGTTTATTTGAATTTTTCCATTGTACATATGATGAAAAATGTTGGTGCATCAGAATATTGTATTGTCTTTGTTTATATGTTAATTTTGTCGATTAATTTTGACCGAAAAGCATGTTTGCTTGAATTTTGCGAGAGTTGAATTATTCATTTCTATTGAATTTGTAATTTGACTGTCAACATTTGAGGTGTTACTTAGGTCTAAAATTAATCTTCTAATGAGTAAATTAGGTTTGAGTAAATTAGAAAATCATAGGAGTACATGTTTTTATTTTCTTAGTCATAGGAGTATATGTTTAGAACTAATGGCAGAAGCTCCATTAGAAGCCTTGCCAATTTGCTAGAAGCGAGTTGAATACCCCTTAAGCTTCTTCATCCATTACAGGAGTATTGAACATGTTTTAAAGATTATGAACACCAGGGTTGCAAACTGGAAATTTCTCCTCGTTGTTTTGATACCTGTCTGATTTATTGAACTGTTCAACATGATATAGCGTTTAAGTTTGGTATGAAATTTCTGCAATTCTGTTATCTTAGGATTATTTGCTTAGGAATTAGGACTTGTTTAATATGTTTCTTCCGGATGTCAATTGATGGCCTTGTATTGGCACTTGGGGAATGGTTTATGATAGTGTATTGATGTTGTACTAGTACTTCTGCTCTGGCTCTTAGAATTCTTTTTTTTTTATCTATTGTTCAGTCATTTGCTGTACTGATTCCATCTTTTTCAATAATAGTGTGCCCGTTCAAGTGATATATGGCTTACGTTGTTGCTATATCTGTATTGACTAAGCCTTGAATAATGTCCAGCAGCTTATAGAATGTGTTTGATGCTTTGATATGTATGAATCACGTGTTGCATTTCTGCATTTTTCTGGTTTACACTTAATTGACATTTGATGCCTGAATTATATTACAATGTATAAATTTTCTGTGAGCTGTTAACTTTGTTCCATTCCAGCTATTAAAATTCTGTTGCTTTTTGTGTGTTATTGCCTTCTAAATTTTGGATTTTCTTACATTGGTAATGGTGATAGTTACATTGTGTTTTTGGCTTGTTGCTAATCAATCACCCTTTCATTATTTCAGTGCAAGTTCTGTGGCAGGGAGGGTACTACTACAATGTTACCAAAATCTGGCTGCTATCTAACAGGTGATGACTGACTGTGAAGCAGGAAAGTTTGTCCGTTTGATGAGCTTTGACTGTCGGGTTTGGAGCCAGTGGACTACTCCTTTGGTGGTGACAAGGAGGAGCAGCAGAAATTATCTTATGATAAGGAGCAGCAGGAGAAGTTATCTGATGACAAGGAGGCCGGAGAAGGAGAAGTTATCTGATGATAGTTACCTTACTTTTGTAAATAGTGACATCTATATAAATATGGTCAATGTTGTCAAAATTTATATAATTACCTTATTTTTATATATAGTGACCTTCGTTATTTTTATATATAGTGGCCTCTGTATAAATGTGGTCAAAATTGATATAGTTACCTTATTTTTGTATATAGTGACCTTTATGTAAATATGCTCAAAATTGATATAGTTACCCTATTTTTGTATATAGTGACCTCTAAGTAAATATTCTAAAAATTGATATAGTTATCTTATTTTTGTATATAGTGACCTTTATGTAAATATGATCAAAATTTATATAGCTATCCTATTTTTGTATATAGTTACGTTATTTTTATATATAGTGACTTTATGTAAATATCGTCAATTTAGATAAAGTTACCTTATTTTAGCATGTAGTGACCTTTAAAACGTTGCGTTTGTCAAAAAAAAAAAAAAAAAAAAAAAAAAAAAAAAAAAACCTTTAAAACAGTTGAATTGATTATATGTAAGGTTGGAATGATCTTAGGGCTTTAGAACCGTCTGATCTTTTGTGCTAGTAATGAATGGCTAAGATTGCTTGTTTTTAGTTTTCACCATAAGCTCTGTTTTTAGCGGAACCTCCCCGTATATATATATATATATATATATATATATATATATATATATATATATATATATATATATATATATATATATATATATATATATATATATATATATATATATATATATATATATAAAATAGACTCATCAAATACCGAAATGGACCCTTATTTGCAAAGTACTCGGCAAGAAATGCTGGATACAAGTCGAAGGATAGCCCTACGCCATAGTGCAGCAAGGCAACATTAAGTGTCGAGCATGTCCCTTGTGGACGACCTTCTTTAAAAGACCAAGCGACATTTAAAGCTGAGTAAGATAACGTGTCCTGTACGACAATCAACTCAACACTTAAGAGTTGATTATAAGATCAAAGCATCCGAGGTGACCTTTATCCAAGTGAAACTGCCTAAGATGGTTGAATGACGACAAATGAAGAGCAAGAGAGCCTTTTGTGAAATCAGGGTTAAGCGGCAGCCAACCATGATTTGTTTATGTTACTGGCAGCCGGTTGTTGAACAAGGAGGCGTATATGCCTAGTTGAACGACAAGTTGCCTAACGCAAAATGTTAAGGCCGAGATAAAGGGCAGGGGATGTAAAAGAGTCACTCAGACATAGTATGCTCATGGTTGACCAAGAGGCATCAAGGGCAAGCAAGCTAAATTAGCTAGCAACTTCAATGGCCAGGCTTTAAGGTCCTAGCCAAATCATGCAATCGGCCATATGTTGGGCATGCAACAAAGTGAAACCGAGCACCAAAGTTAGGCCTCTCCTATGTTGAGTCGGTTGACCTTGAGAGTCGTCCAGCAACAAAGTGAAACCGAGCACCAAGATCAGGCCTGTCCGAAAACAATCAAACAGCCATAAGGCCAAGCAAGCGTAAAGTCCTAACTGATAGGGGCTAGTACTCAAAAGATAGCAAAGCTTGGTGCACAGTAAAGCAAGTGATCAAGCTAGCCGACGCATGAGCCAACAGGCACATTCATCTATGAAAAGTCGGAAGTGTCATAGTGCCGACCAGCTAATGAGCAAACAATCTTCCTTTAGGAAGATAAGCGGCACCTAAGTCGTCTAGCTTTAATGATATTAGCTTGTGAAAAGCCAAGTGGACGAGTCAAGAACCTCAACTTATTACTAAAGGCTGTAAGCGACAATAAACTTGAAAAAGCTAGGAGCAATAAGGTCGAGTAAGACGTCCAGGTTCTCAAGTGTGACACCTACAAAGTGGCTAGCCTACATTGTGAACTAGCCAAAAATATAAGTGAGTTCAGGCAACAATCTTACCATTTGGACCTTAAAGCATATACAACATGCAAACTAGCCAGGGGCTAGCCATCTCATTCTAATTGAGCCTTTGAAAAACAAGCCACCCTATAAGTAGGGCGATAAGGAAATACTAATTTCTATACATTCCTTGTTGAGTAGCCAAGTTACGAAATGTAGGTCAAAGGTCCCAAAATGGCAAAATAGCCTAATAGTATAAGGCTACAACCTAATAAATATAAAATGTATTAATAAAATACTTTCGGATAAACCTCCCTCAATAGGGTGATATATAGATCTTTATATGATCCAAGCGTATATTGAATGGATTCTTCATCCAAACAAGTTCAAAAAACTTTGGAAGAGGTTGACCTGTTCAGACAACACCCTTTCGAGTCCAAGTAAGACTCGTCTTAAAAAGAGCAAAATGGCACATATTCCGAGCTTCTATGAAAGGAGTGAGCCAAGATGGAAGATACATATGGAAACATTACCGAGTATAATATCCGATACAATGATAAAACACTAAGTATAATCCTAAGAAGATTTACTCGACAAATCACATCGTATAGCTCAAACTCTCAAAGTACAAAGATTCCAGGCGGCAAAAATGTGAAATGGAAATATTAAAGGTACTCCAAAGTGCAGGAATTCTAAACGTCTTTTGCTCCAAATAGAATTCTGAAGGCAAGGGCAAGAAATGACAAATGGTCATTTTCACCCCAACTAAGTCTAAGCCCGAGTGAGTCATAAGTGACACAAGGGCATAGGATAAAACTACTCGTTAACATTAACTTGAAGTTATTGAGATGACCAAAAAGATAGATTCAATTGAACTCTCAAAGGTTTGTATAAACGGCTAAAAAATCGTTGGATGCCTAAAAAGAAAAAGGAAAATTACCCCACACAGCATGGAAACGAGACTAAGAATATCG